GAAGCTGCAGTGAAAACACAAATTTATAAAAATCAACAAAAGCCAATATTGACCCACACTGAATGATGAGCAAGATTCGCACCTCTGATTCACCCCCACGTGATGGCACCTGCTGGTTGTTGGCAACCAACAATTCTCGCATTTCCTTCTTACTCACAAAATTGAACAACTTTTCCCTCACTGACCACATTTCGTCCGCTTGCGCCTAAAATAACTGCTTGTAAACGGATATATCAGTGATACATGAACAGTGGATGAAAAAGTTGCCTTGAGGCGCTCTCTTCTTTCTTCCGTGTCCGGCTCCTCCATTTTTGCCCTTTTAGTTTTAACTGCCTCAACTTCCTCCTGCTGCTGCTTCTTCTTCGCTTCAGCATATGGATCAAAAATAGGTACCAGTTCATTCTGGTCTTCCTCTATTAGTTGTGAAAAGCCAGCGATGCTAAAAATAGTAACAAGATGAAGTGACTGACACAAAATTAAACATGTTTTCTGGAAAACAGTGTCCATTTGGAAGCAGAACTGTGCAAGTTTCATAATAAATATAATTGGCCAACGCACGGGCCGTCCGCTTGAAGATGCGTTTTTTGCATAGTTTCTCGCACATTTTTGTCGCTAACTGTACTGCCTTTTCCAGCAGATGCTTCTAGCTGAAAGAATTTCTGACTGGCCGTCAGGATTGTCCAGAAACAACCCTTCAAAATTCCAATCTTCTAGCTTCTCAGGCGGACAACGAATATCCTCTTAAAATTACAGTCCTCTAGCTTTTCAAATTCTCGAGCTAGCAACTTACCCGAAAAAAATCTTGGCGGGCCCGTGCGTGGGTAACACGCATACCCGAAGGCCGGGTTTGGGGTCGTTAAGACTTACGTGGACGAAAAACATCCTCTTAAAATTTCAGCTAGCTTTTCTGGCTTCTGAGTTAGCAACTTACCCGCAAAAAAAAAAAATCATGGGCCTGTACGTGGGTACCACGCGGGTAAGAGCGCCCATTTTGGGGACCGGGGCCCGCACGTGCATGCAGATTAAGTTCCCGAAGTTTCAGTCCTGTAGCTTTTGTAGGTTTTGAGATGAAAAACCGTGACACAGACAACCCCTCGTCCATACGCATTTTCTGTATTGCACAGCTGCAAAAAACGCATAAAAAACTGAATGAACTCAAGAACCTCGACTAAGCACAATTCATAAGAACTACAAAGA